TAAATTTATGATTATTATTACCTCACTTTTCTCTGTATCATAGGTTTTTTGCATATGTCTCCCCTCCCTCATTAGATTGTAAGCTTCTTCAGAGATAGAACTGGAAAGAGCACCGGGTTAGCCCAAGGACTTGAATTCAAATGCGCTCATTGCCTATGTGACCCTAGGCAAGTTACTGAAGCTCCTTGTACCTCAGTTTCCTCATCTGTAAAAAGAGAGAGTTAGACCAGATCACCTGTGAGGTGCTTTCTAGCTCCTACTCTCGTATCCCATGAGTCATATCCTACTGCCCTGTGCATGACCTTGTGCTGGACCTGTGGTAGATCCTTCCAAGTTTGTATTGGTCTTATTAGCCATGGTTAGACACACTGTACCTTGATTCCAACATAGTGATGTCATTTTGGTCCTCTTCAACAATGAAGAACAATAACCTACCAATATAAATTGTTCTCTTGGTTCTGCTCATTTCATTCTTCTCAGTTTATAAAAGCCCTCAAAGTTGTTTATTTTTATAATACTGGTGTTATAGTATAAATCACTCTGCCTTCCAAAAGATTAGCTAGTCTGATAAATATATACTAATGGACCAAAGAAAGAAAATGAAAGAAACTCCTCAAGTAAAATTCATACTTATTATTCTAGAGATAATGCCCATTTTGGAGGGGCTCTCAGTGATGGCAGGGCAGTGCCATGGAAAGGTATGAGATGAGTAATGAATGGGTAGTGCCAAGGGAAATGCTGAGGCGGGGAAGGAAATGGGCTATTCTGTGCCTATTCGTCTCATACCATATGGTTGGCTGTCTGATAGCATGTTCTGTGTGGTTGTGTTCCTGCTTCTAGATAAGCTGGTGAGTTCTGTACAAGCCTCGGTTTCCATGTGGTTTTCAGAGAAAGAATGCATTGGAGACCCACCATTAATGCAATCATGTCATGTGAAGGAACAAAACATACTAGGTGGTTTTCAATCTTATCTTGAGTCTTTACTGATCTGTTAGATTTATTGATAATCCCAGGGGAAAAAAATCCAGATGTGTCACTGCCCAAAATGACTCCTGCAGAGCATCTCAGAAAGCTGTCTCTCCTTGGGGAAGCTGGGACATTAGAAGAAAAGAACTTGTATCGATTAGCAAGTAGGATGACAACAGGAGGTAAGTCTAACACCTTAGCAATCCAAATGGGCTGACCCCTGACTGACTTTTATTGATTTGTTTTCTAGTGTACATAACAGCACATAGGTGACTTTTTCTTTCTCAGTGGGCTATGTCTCTTCCTTTCTCAACCTCTTCTCCCTTTGCCTTTATTTTTAACACAACCTGATGTGTGGTCTAGTGGAAAGAAAGCAAACCTGGGAGTCAGGAAGACCCTTGGGTTCAAGTTTTCTCGACCCACAGTGGCTGTGTGACCCTGTCCAAGTTACTGAACCTGTCGGCATCCCAGGTAACTCCAAGACTACGAGTTGCAAAATAGTTGGTAATCTGCCCGTGTAAAGGAAGTGGACTCATGGGGAGTTACCTACTCAGGTCTTATAAAAAAATCTAATGCAACATAATTGTACTTGAAATCTTTAGGGGTCTTGTTGTGGCTCTAGAATGTGGATAAAAAGTAAATATTCTACTAGTTGTGATTCCCATATGTACAAAAGATTCTATTCAGCATGGCATAGATGAGAGTTGAGTAGCTTTTCCAAAGTGGCATACCAGATTGCCAACCTCTATCATGGTGTACAAGGAGAGGTAGGCAGAGGTCATGGCTATATACAGGTTTTTTTGGGAAGGGACAAGTGCAAACTTTGTTTATCAGATACAGTGTTGGATTTGGGGTCAGGAATACATGAATTGGAATCTTACTGTGTGGCCCTAAGTCATGCAACTCTGATTCCATTCCTTGAGCTGTAAAAGAAACACAATAATGCTTATAAACGAAGCCCCCACCTCATAAGATTATTGTGGGACTCAGACATGATAATGTATAGGAAGCCATTGTCAGCTGACATTTTTATTGAAGATGGTGATTTCATCAGGAAATAGGGATGTCCAAATTAAAAAGGACCCAGGTGCCATCTTCAGCATGGATGTCATGTTCATTGCAGAGAAGAGTCAGCAGTTCCAAAATGATAGCCAGCCCTGTCACTTCCATTATATTCTTGCTTTGGGCAGAATCATAGTATGTTTCTAGTGGACTCTGCAGCATGCCAAAGGGAGAATTAAATCTTGGGATCCTGAGCATCCTTCAAATGCTGAATCATACAACTTCCCAAGTGCTTGCTATTTGGCTTGCCCGGAGTAGCAAAAAGCTATTTCATACCTAGTCTTTCTAAATACAGAAGCATCTCCTTACATCTGAAGGGAATTTGAATGGAAGGCCAGGTCATAGTTATTTTTCCTGGAGATGGGGGGGGAGGTTCCTGAGTAACGAGTTGATCTGGTTTCTACTAGAATTGCACCAGCAACAAGAGGTGTTGATGAGAAATCCCGTGATGACAGTCAACCCGCCATTGATAGGGTGGGACCACAGAGAATCCAATCTGTTCCCTCACAATTTGAAGCTCGGTTTGTGGACAGGTATATTTTTCTCCACTATAATATTTCAGCCAAATACAAGCTAGAATGGTTCTTAAATCTGTACATAATCACAGAGTCTCAGACTTGGAAGGGACCTCGAAGGCCATCAGGTCCAGTTGGCACCTGAACAAAAAACCTCCCTAGGTCTTCCCTAACAAGTGGGCATCCAGCCTTTGTTTGAAGTCTGAGGAGGGGGAATCTACTTACCCATTCTACTTTGAAATAGCTCTAATTGTTAGGATTTTTTCCCTGATATTAAGCCAGAATTTACCTCTTTAAAACTTACACTCATTGCTCTTCTGCCCTTAGGGGCCAAGAAGAATCAACCACTAAGAAGCATTTATTAAGTTGCTGTTATGTGCCAGGTACTATGCTAGGCATTGAGGATGCAACCAAGAATGAAACAGTCCCTTCCTTTAAGGACTTTATATGCCAACAGAATAAAGTCTAATTCTCTTCTTCAGGACACTTTTTCAAATACCTGAAGACAGAACTCTTTGGCTGTTTTCTTGCTTAATATTATTTCAGTTTCATTTTGACCTCTAGGCCACAGGGGCCATGGATCTTTGCTCTGCTAATGATCTACTTCAAAGTTTCATCACTAGGTGGAAATGACCTTTGGTTCTCAAATGGCCAACTGCCCAAAGAACATGAAAGCCTACAAGTTGGGGGGGAAAAAACTTGCTTAAATTAATTGCCAATGGACCGAGCAATGATCTGTTGCCTGAGGGCCAACCAACTATGTTTGGAGGGGCCCATCCTATGACTGGCTAGCTTTCTCGGAGTGAATTTTGGGCTATAGAAGCTATCAAAAAGCACTTACAGAGAGGGATGGGGATCTGAGTTGGTGGAAGAAGTATTCACACTGAGACGCTGAAGTAAACGAGTGCATGGACAGAATCTGTGGGTGTCAAGGTCAGATATTACTTGCGTGGTGGGGGGATGGAGGAAGTGATCAAACACCTCTCCACAGGTACCTCTCTGGTCTCCATGGCAACAGCTGTTAGAATTGTCAAATTGGGCATAGCGAAGTGCTCCATTTGTCCCACCCTTAACACTCCTCATTTTCGCTCCTTTGAAAGAGAGTGGCATTCATTTGATGAATAAATATGGACTTAGCAGTTAGTCAACTGGCATTTATTAAGCACCTACTACATGTCAGACACTGTTAGGTCTTCATGCATGCTGAGATATATATGATATAGGATGGATAGAAGTATATCATGCATGATGTCTAGGATGGATTTCATATGTATCACATGTTTAGGATAGATAATATGTGGTATATCACATGTGATCTATGTGTCTGCTATATGTTATATATAGTATATTGTCATATATTATACTTATATGTTACATATTATCCAAGCTCATATATATATAATATATGTTAAGCATATGGTAGGTACTTAAAGAATGCTAGTTGACTTGTACATATATATATATATATATATAGGTAAATACACATATATTTAATAAATACTAGTTTGTGTCTGTACATACATATATACACACACACATTTGTGCATTTATATACACCAGTTTTTTATATATGTGTGTGTATGTATATATATATGTATGTGTGTGTGTGTGTGTGTGTGTGTGTGTGTGTGTGTATATTCATAGAAGTAGATCTCTCAGTAGACTTGATGTGGATCAGGTTTCCATATCACTTTCTGGCCATTTCCAAATCATGCCAATATGCCAGCCCCACCCCCAGTTTCCAGCTCCTACTAGGGGCTCCTATAGGCATGTGAGCATGGTTTGGAAACATCCAGGAAGTGATGTGGAGATCTGATCCCTGGCAAGATTAAGCAAAAGCAAACCTATTAGAGCCCAGGACCTAGAAGCAGAGTCCAGGTGGCTCCAGTGGGAGGGATTTGAGGAAGATGACCAGACTGGAGATCACATGGACTTTGATAACATTGAGCTTGAACAATGCTTGTAATGGTCTGAAAAACAAAGATATAAGTGCTGAGAGAAAGTCTGGGGAAATAATGACTTTGTGTAATCAGTCAATGAAACATTAGACCCAAGGGACTTATAGAACTGACCCCTAATGAAATTATGTCTGTTAAATAGGGGGAAGAGGATCCTATGGTCATAATAGTGGAAAACCTGAGAATAAATCCAATTAGATGCTCTTATCAGTAGGTCCCCAGATGTTGCCTCCCTACCCCCCATGTGCACCCCTACCTTTGTCCACTTTCCATACCAAGTTAACCACTGGGCCAGTCCTTTCTCACTCCAAACATTCCTCAATAGATTCCTTTATTAATCTCAGGAAGGAGTCACAGGCATTCTTGTACTTCTGATGAGGAAGGAGTACTCTAAATCTACATAGAGCCCAATGCCTCAGCAACAGCAGAAGAGGAATAATCTGCATCTCAACTTTATTTCTTCTCTTCACCTAGAGATTCGTTGCCTTCTGCTGACATGATGGCTCCACCCGACCCTAGACAAATCCACATCACTTCCCGCTTGGGAGCATCAGTTCCACCTCATGTGAATATGCCCCACGTTCTGTCTAATGCTGTCTATCCAGGTCTGAGCGCAGGGATGTAGTCATGTTCAAAGTGACTGTGGGATCATGCCTATTGGTTACCAGGGTTTTCTTTTTCTTTTTTATTTTCCCATGGTTTTCAGTGGTTCAGTGGGTTTTTTCAATGGTTTTTAATGGTTTTATTTTCCCTTATGGTTCAATGATTTCAAAGGTTTTTTTTCCTCCAAAGGGAGTTGGTGGAAGGAGGGCAGTGAAGAGAAAATAAATATTTGTTAATTACAAAAAATAAAATAAATCACAAAGTACCTGTGGTATGTGGCTGCTTAGTAGAAGTTCACTGAAGGCTGTTAATAACAGTAACTATACTAGCTAAAAGGAAGGGAAAGACTCCATCATCCCTTTTGTCCTTTTCTTAGAACTTGATAACTATATCAGATACCAAATGTCCAAGTTCTTGCTCTTATTATTAACTAGAGAGGTTACTATGGTCATAAGATCAGGGAGACAGAGCACTGGACTTGGAGTTAGGAAGACGGGTTCAAATCCTGAGTCTGAGCCCCTGGACAAGCCACTAACTTCTCTGTGCCTATTTCAACTGTTGAATGAGGGGTTGGATTCAATGATTTCCAAGGTCCCATCCAGCTTTAAATCTATGATCTCTTGAATAATTGTTGGTTGCTATAGGCTCCAGCCTCTGCTGTTGAAAGATGAAGGTACACCTAGAGAAACCTTTTGAGTGTTTCCTATTTGGAAAGCTCCCATTTTCATCAGTTAGCAGGTGTGACTGTAGAGCAGGAGGAGGGCAATCAATTTTAAAAAAAAGTTTAATGACCTTGGGCTATCCCCTCAGACTTCAAAGGCTCCTTTCACATTTTTTGCCTTTTGAAGGATGGAGGGAAAGCTATTTGAAAGAAAGAAAGAAAGAAAGAAAGAAAGAAAGAAAGAAACAAACAAACAAACAAAACAAACAAACAAACAAACAAACAAACAAACAAAGAAACAAAGAAAGAAACAAAGAGGAAGAAAAAGGAAGGAAGGGGAGGAAAAGGGAGAAAAGGGGAAGGAAGAGAAGAGAAAAAAGGGGAAGAAAGAATAGAAGGAAGCAAGGAAGGAAGGAAGGAAAAAAGAAAGAAAAGAAATAGAAAGAAATAAGAGGAAAGAGGGAAGGGAAGGGAAAGGAAGGAAAGGGAAGGGAAGGGAAAGGAAAGGAAAACCCCAGAAGATTTTATCCTCCTATCCCATAACCAATAAGATGCTAAGGCCACCACACTGCTGGGAGGATGGCCCACCACATTGTTAGGCAGACTTTGGCCTCTTTTCTGTTGACACATCACAAATTGCTTCTGCAGCCATATTTTCTTTTTGCATGTTCCATTGTGTATTACTCACTTTGAGCTTGGTATGGTTTTGCTTTTCAGGATACAGCTTTCTGCAGCAAGAATCCATGGAAGCAGTGGCCAGAAGGCAGGAGTTGGTGCAGAAACAGAATCTAGCCAGGTGGGTGACTGAATGGTGGTACCTGTGATTCTGTAGGTGGTGAGGAATGTACCTGCCCAAGGCCAGTGGTTACTCACATGAATGTAGACTTGGGAGTTCCAGTTGACTTGGGAGGGAATTACCGCAGATGATTTTGCAATTCATTTTAACACCTCCGTGTCTCTCAGCCAAATTCCAGACTTGGCGGTCCCTCTTCAAGCCTAAAATGCTTCAGGGAGATTTTATTTCAGCCTTGAAGAGCACGTCCCTGGTTCCCCAGAGCCCCTCACTCATGGTGGCTGGAGAAAGAGACAGTCGAGACTAGACAAGGGCAGTAGTTCTCAAAGTATTGACTGGTCACAGATGAGAGGAGTAGGTACATCATCAGCTTCACTTAACCCTCAGGAGCCCAGAGGAATGACTCCTGTGAAAAAATAGAGTAAACAAAAAATACCATGCGGCCCTTTGTCCCACCCTGATAACAACTGGAAGATTGCATTGTTGTGACTTCTAATTAATATTATTTTGTTGATTAACTAAGGTCCTCACATTTCCTTCAAAGAATTCTTTTAAATTTCTTTTATTTTAAAAGCTTTATTTGCCAGCAAGCATTCTGGTGGTTTTACAACTCATCTCTTGTCCTAGGATTTTAATTCTTCCCTTGATGTACTGCAGAGCCCACTAGAAAAAACACAAAACCAATCAATGCAGAGAGACTGTGTCTGACAACATGTACAGCATTCTGTACCCATAGGTACCCACCTCTTTATCAAGAGGAAGGACATGAGCGTCATCATCAGTTTCTCCGTCATTAAAATTAGTCATTAAAGTTAATCAGAGTTCACTGATCTGCATAATGACCGATAACAATTCCAGAGGACTCAAAATGAAGCATCCTACCCACCTCCTGATAGAGATGTGATGGAGTCAGAGAACAGACTAACACATTTTGGGGGAGAGGTGTGGGGGGAAGATACATGGCCAGTATGGGAGTCTGTTTTACTTGATTGTACATGTTTGCAACAGGGATTCGTTTTTTTTTTTTTGCTTCTTCATTGTGGGGATGAGGGGAGGAGAGGAAGTGGGAGGGAGAGAATGTGGATCTGAAAATTAAAAAATGTAATTAAAAAAATTAATCAGTGTTCAGCTGACATTTAGTGCTATTTTAATTTGCATTCTATAGTTGTAACACTCTCTCTAGGCTACTTTCCCAGAGTGTGTCTGCTCCCCTTGGGTTCTTGGGACCCTGTGGGTCTGGACCTCCCAGGATTCTAGCTCACAAGCCTTTGCTGGTATGCTTCCCTTTAGCACTCAGCCAGTAGATACAATTATTTCTTGGCAAAAGTACTTCCTAAAATGGCATAGTAAGATCAGGAGCTATAAAATATTCCTACCTGGGGCTTAGTCCCAGAAAAAAGTTCATACAGCAATTTCCTTCCTTCTTCTCTTGGGGAGAGGCCCTAGAGGTGTAGAATATTGCACATATTGTCACATATAGCAGATTCGTTTGCTGGTTTTGCTGAATTGGTTATTTGTCTTTTTTTTTTCATCTTTCTTAGAAAGGATAAGTCATTGGGTAGGGGAAGAAGAGTGATATATTCCAAAATTTAGGTGGCAATATAGATAAGATATTGGACCTGGAGTCAGTAAGACATGTTTACTAGCCCTGGACAAGTCATCTAACTTGTGTGCCTCAATTTTCTCCTATGGAAAATGAAAATAAAAACAGCACCTACTTCCCAGGAATGCTTTGATGGTCAAATGAGATACAGTGCTTTGAAAACTTTGAAGTGCTATATAAATGCTAGCTATCATTACTATTATTATTAAAAGATTTTTTAAAATTAGATTTTTTTTTCTAAAAACACAAAACAACACCCACTTCCAGCAGTTTTAAAATTTTTAAAGATTAACCTGTGACAATGGTCAATCCCTAAACCCTGTCCTCATAGTGCCAGCTTCTTTTTTTTTTCTAGGTAATAGGGTTAAATGACTTGCTCAGGCTCACACAGCTAGTTAGCGTCAAAGGTCTGAGGCCAGATTTGAACTCAGGTCCTCCTGACTCTAGGGCCGATGCTCTATCCACTGTACCACCTCACTCCCCCCATAGTGCCTGCTTCTCAAACAAGGCTTTTCTATACCAGCAGTATAGTTCCCACCATACAAGAGAATGTCTTGTGATTGCCCAGTGAAGTCCATTGGAAGGATTCCTCCCCTATGACTCTGTAGGAGTTCAGCTATAACAAACCTAATAAAATTTAAGTAATAAGTAGAAGGCTGCCAGATAGGGCTTTATCTTGGGAGGAGTAGGTGTTTGTATTTTGGATGAGCAGTTGGCTCTTCAAACTCTATTTCTAATACTTCTGTTGGGTTGTGTGTGAGTTTGTGGTTTTCTTCTTGCATCTTTAGGATGGAGATGGAAATGGGCACCATTTTTCAACAAAGAGAGATAGGAAAAGCTCAGCATAAAGGACTGATGGGTTTGGGTTTGGAGACATCATTCCTGTACCAACATGGTATCCCAACAAGCCCAGGTGCATTCCAAGGAAGGAACAAGTTTCCTGAAATGCATCTTCCCAATGACCTCTATGTCCACAGAAGCTCTCTGGATGACCTGCATGGTAACACCAGGCTAATGACAACTGGTCCATACCCACCAGTCAGTAGCTGGCAAAAAGAGAAGGGTCGCCGGCTAGGGAGAAGAGTGGGAAATCATAAAGCTTCCGGTTGTAATGCCAGGAGTTCCAAAAACCAAGAGGAAGACAGAAATCCAGATCAGATTCTCACAGTTTCAGCTGCAGAAAAAGAGGATAAGAAAGACCTTGACACTGAACCACACCCTAAATATGAGCCAAGCCAAAGCAATGGGGAACCAGCCACTGTGCCCACCAAGAGTCTCAAGGAACATGAGCACAGCCCCCAAAAATCCTGTGAAGAGCGCGGTTGGTCCATTGAAACAAATGACAGTGGTGGTGGGAATGCAAAGGATTCATGTCATTCTTCAACAACCTCTGATGAAAGATATCTTTTTCAATCACCAGTCTCCCTCCCTCCCCTGCCATATGGATTTCCAGTCCTCAACAACAGCTCATTCTTCCCTCCAGGTTTGTAAGTCTCTTCAATTACAGTTTAAGAATGCTATAATTTTGCTTTCCTCTTTCCTTTTCTTAATCCCATTCATGAAGCAAGAGGATCTGATTCAGGCAAGCAAGCATTTAGGGTGGGTTCTTTCAAGTAAATTACATGAAATTCAATGACCTCTTAAATCTATGTTCAGTTGCGATGACTGTTTTGTTTCCTAAACCTATCCTAATGAATGGTTTCCTAGTAGCTAGGTGTCATGTAAGGCAGTCCAATATAGTAGTGGAGAGAATACTGGGTTCAGAGCAGGGTTTCTTAATCTGGAGTCCCATAGGGGATTGTAGATAGATTTCAGGAGGTCTGTGAGCTTGGATGGTTAAAAAAATATATATATATATACTTTATTTTTACTAATTTTTGTTTGTAGTCCTACATATTTGCTTCATAATCCTTTGTATTTTATTTATTTAAAGATATTTGAATTAAATTTTAACTAAATTCAAAAATTAATGAATGTGAATTTAATTTGAATTTGAATTAAATTAAGATTTTTAAAAAAAATTCTGAAAAGGGGTCCATAGTCTTTGCCAGACTGCCAAAAGGGTTCTTAACCAAAAACAGGTTAATAATAGCTGGTTTAGAGTCTGAAGATCAGGAGTTGAACTCTGGCTCTGCCAGTGACAACTCATATGACATTGGACAAGTCACTTCCCTTCTTTGGGCCTCAGTTTTTTTATCTGTAAAATGGGAGATCATGAAATCATAGCTTGAGAGATGGCCAGGGACCTTAGAGACATTGAGTCTAACCCATTCCTTTTACAGATGGGGAGCTGGTCTAGATGCTTTTAAAGTCCCCTCTAGCTTTCCTCTATCCATCCCATGACCAATGTGAATAAATAAGATGAAATCTACTGGAGATTAGGTTTTCATTGATTGTGCCTGGGGATCCCACCCTGGCATAACTTTTCCCCAACAGGTGCAAGATGCTTGTCAAGGAGATATAGTGAATATTTAGTAAATAACTATATTACCCTATTGAAATTAATCTATTTTATTTATTTGCATATGCATAACAAACTCTAGAACTGATTCCCTTTTATATTGAATAGAAAGTACACTAAGATTTATTTAAAGATCTACCATGTAGTACAGGGACCAAAAAAGGGTGGGGACCCCCAGATTATACTGATTCCCTATCTGGAGCCACTGCTTCACCTAAGCAGAGAGGTGCCTTTCATCAGCTATCCAATGAACTTTCCTTTTCTAGTGCCAATGGTTTACTCCCTCAAAAGCCAAATTAGGCATAGGGGGTTAATTCCCTGGTTTTTCTCCCATTAAAAAACAAAAACAAAAAAAAACACTTGATACTATTAAAAATTAAGAAGCTATGAAATCCATTCCCTTGATAGTAAGTATCATACTCATGTATATTCTAAACAAAGAATATGAGAAGAAATAAATGAAGCCTAGACAGGGGTGACAATGAAATATAATCAGAATTCTTCTCATTTTCTGGCTAAGTGACTTGCAACTCCTGAAATTCTGAGGTTGACTATTAGGGAAGGATGTTAACTCCTTCAGACAATATTGTCTGTGTAAAGTGTACAAATAAATGCCAAGTGATCCGCAAGAGAGAGGAAGTGTGGGGCAGATGAGATAATTCAGGGTTTGGAGGCAGGAAAGAACAGAATTTGCATCTGATTGCTGATATGTTATCATTGGTCAAGGATCCTTAACCTATTTGTGCATCCTCAACCCCTTGGGCAGTCTGGTCAAGCCTATGGATTCCTCAGAATAATGTTCTTTTAAATTTTTTTTTAGTTTTTTTTTTTTTGTGAGGCAACAATGGGGTTAAGTGACTTGCCCAGGGTCACCCAGCTACTGAGTGTAGAGGTCAGATTTGAACTCAGGGAGATGAGTCTTCCTGACTGTAGACCCAGCGTTCTATGCACTATGGCATCATCTTAGCTGCGCAATCAGTGACTTGGGTTCAAATTCTGTCTCTGCCATTTACTACCCATGTAACCCTGGGAAAATCACTTATTTATCTGGGCCTCAGTTTCCTTATCTGTCAAATGCGGGTGTTGGTCTAGAAAGCCTATAAGGTGCCTTCCAGCTCTAAATTTTTTATTATTCTGTGTCCTACCATGTTCGAAGAAATGTGCTGAGCAATGGGGGATACAGAAATAGACAAGGCACAGGCCCTGCCCTCATGGAGTTTACAATTTAATAAGGGAATGCAACACATAAAGCAATAGCTATAATACAAAATATTCCAATCAATTTGGATCTCTCCTCCAGTGAAGCAGATTGAGACCCATCCAAGCTTGCTTGTCTGCCATGGATACAATAAACTAATGCCATATTTCTTTAAAGATATAACTGCAATAACTTTGTTCAATGGCTCTCTAGGGTCATTACTATTAGAGCATTATATAAAACAGATCAAGAGCAATCTGATAGGAGGGATAAGGGGAAAAGTAATGGAAAGTGTGGTGCTTAGTTTCAGCCACTGTAGACTTATAGCTAGAAGGTCTCATAGCCTGAGGGGGTGTGTGTGTGTGTGTGTGTGTGTGTGTGTGTGTGTGTGTGTGTGGAGAGAGAGAAAGAGGGAGAGAGAGAGAGAGAGAGAGAGAGAGAGAGAGAGAGAGAGAGAGAGAGAGAGAGAGAGGAGGAAGAAGAAGAAGAAGAAGAAGAAGAAGAAGAAGAAGAAGAAGAAGAAGAAGAAGAGGGAGAGAAGGAACAAGGGAAAAAGTGGAAGAAAAAGAATACTTTTTCAGAAAATTGTGTAATGGGCACACACTGGCCAGGTTGCAAATAATAATTTTGGCAGTGAGTACAGTGGAGAGGGAGAGAGAGGTTTGCCTCTGACACATACCAGCTGGGTGAGCCTGGGCAAGACATTTAACCCCTGAGGGCCCCAGGCACCTGCCTAAGACAGGGGCTCCTGATGTTTTTCTGTATCATTGGGCCCTTCTGAAGTGTGATGAAGCCTCTGGATCCTTTCCCAGAATCATATATTTAAATGCATAAAATAAGATGCATAGGCTTACAAAGGAAACCAATTAGACTGGAAATAAATCCATCATTTTTTTCCCGTCCAAGTCCATAGACCCCAGTTTAAGAACTCTTTCTCTAAGACTAAATTGCAGAATGGTTACCCATCAGTATAGATGCAGACCCCCTCCACTAACAAAACCTCGGGTCTGGTTAAAAAAAAAAAAGAGTAAGAAAGATTATTCTGGAAATAGTCAGTAAGATGGATTGGCAGGAGGAGAGAATGTTGGTGGGAAGACCTGTAAATCTATCAGTCAATCAATAATCATGAACTAAGTTCCTACTGTGTGCCAGGCACTTTTTCTGAGTGCTGGGGATACAAAGACAAGAGTGAATACTCCCTGCCGTTGAGGAGCTTCCATTCTAACACGGGAGACAATGTATACATATACGACTGCAGGAAGAAGGGCTGGACCCATGATTTCATTGTTAGAAGGAGCTCTCATCTGTAGACATTCCTTCTACCAATACAGCTCATCACCCCCGTGTGTGTGTGTGTGTGTGTGTGTGTGTGTGTGTGTGTGTGTGTGTGTGTGTATGTATCTATGTACATATATGGAGACACACACTCACAAAAGGAATACAAGGTGGATTTTTTGAGTAGGGAGGGCACTAGCAGCTGGGAAGATCTGGAAAGACTTTACTTAATATAGTCCTTGAGATGAGTCTTGAAGGAAACCGTGCATTAGAAGAGGAAGAGGTGAGAAGGGAGTTTATTCTATGTATGGGGGACATCTACTGCAAGGACGAAGAGATGGGAAATGAAACCCCATGTGTGACGAACAGCAGACAGGTTAGTATGGGTGGGCAACCTGCAGCCTCGAGGCCACACGTGGCCTTCTGGGTCCTTGGGTGTGGTCTTTGGACTGAGTCCAAGTTTTACAGAACAAATCCTTTTATTAAGAATTTAATAAAATCCTTATATATTGTATAATAGCATATTATTCATATAATATAATATAATAAACATATAATAAAATCCTTCCACCCCTGGACTAGACTAATACAGAAGGGAAAGTAACATGTGGAACATTGGGAAAGGTAGAAAGGGGCCATTGGGCAGCTGGATGGCACCATAGTACACAGAGTACCAGGCTCAGAGTTAGGAAGACTCATCTTCCCATATTCAGATCACTTACTGGCTACGTGACCCTGGGCAAGTCACTTAACCCCGTTTGCCTCAGTTTCCTCATTTATAAAATGAGCTGGAGAAGGAAATGGCAAAGCATTCCAGTATCTTTGCCAAGAAAACCCCAAATGGGCTAATGAAGAGTCAGACATGACTGAACAACCATAACAACAAAAGAAAGGGGCCAGGTTGTAAAGACTTTAAATCCAAATGGAGGATTTCACATTTGATCCTAGAGGTAACAGAGAGCCATTGTATTTACTGAGTAGAGGATTCTAGGCAGGGGTCAATGAAGGCCTGACTAACATGGTACAATGAAATTATGAGAAGAGGACAGCCTCCAGGAAAAGTTGTAGAGATGGAACTGATAAAACAAACAAAGAAAAAAGCCAACAACCTTCAATAACTCATTCCTTATGTGTAGCTAAATGTAGAGTTCTTTGGAGACTCATCACCTAAATGACCCTAGAGTGAGAAACGTTTGGCCGTGGGAACTCTTTAAACCACTTACTACGTCAGAGAAGGGTTGAGATCTGTAGTGGTGGAGAGAATACTCACACCACCAAAAGCATAGTTTAAAAGTTTAAATGTTAACTGCTCTCTGCCCCAATTTCCTCATCTGTAAAATGGGGATAATAATAGCACTAGATTTGCAAGATTATCATGAGAATCAAATGATATAACATACAGAAATTGGTTTATAAATTTTAAAGTGATATACAAATGTCAGCTATTATTATTATAGTAATATGCTACTTCAAGGTGCCTTTCTGACAGCAATAATGAAATGGTTACAATCTCTCTCCCCCTACGATTGGAATAAGCTTTTATTTCCTCAATGCTTGTTTCCTGAAGCAGACAATATGGCCTTTGCTTTTACATTACATCACACTTTCCACTTGTGTGTGAGTCTTGACTCTATAATCTGATCAAAAGATCGTCCGGGGTTTGGACTACATAATGTATTCCCTTAGTGTTCCCTACACATCCTACCATAGTACAGAGAATATAGATTAGTCGATTTTTTGTTGGCTGAGTGAGTGAGGGAAGGACTGCAGAGGCATGGAATAGAGGTCCTGATGGTCTTGATGCATGTGCAAGCAGCAATATCAAAAGAGAGAGCAGCATTGTTGGTAGAATTGTGAACTGATCCAGCCATTCTGGAGAACAATTTGGAACTATGCCCAAAGGGCTATAAAACTGTGCATACCCTTTGACCCAGCAATACCACTACCAGGTCTGTATCCCAAAAAGATCATAAAGAAGGCAAAAGGACTCACATGTACAAAAATATTGATATCCCCTCTTTTTGTGGTGGCAAGGAATTGGAAATCAAGGCGATGTCCATCAATTGGGGAATGGCTGAGCAAGTTGTGGTATATGAATGTAATGGAATACTGTTGTTCCATAAGAAATGATAAGCAGGTGGATTTCAGGAAAACCTGGAAAGACTTGTATGGACTGATGCTGAGTGAATTGAGAAGAACCAGAAGAACATTGTACACAGTAATAGCAACACTGTGTGATGACCAACTCTGATAGACTTAGCTCTTCTCAGCAATGCAATGATCTAAGACAATTCCAGAAGACTCAATGCAAAATGCTGTCCACATCCAAAGAAAGAATTACGGAGTCTGAATAAAGATCGAAGCACACTATTTGCTCTTGTTTTTCCTTTCTTGTGGTTTTTCTCATTTGTTTCTTCTTTGACAACATGACCAATGTGGAAATATGTTTAATATGATTGTATATGTATAGTCTATATCAGAGTGCATGCCATCTTGGGGAGGGGGATGGAAAGGAGGGGAAAATTTTAGAATTTAAAATCTTACAAAAGTGAATATTGAAAACTCAAAATAAATAGTTTTTTAAAAGTTTAGATGTTTAAAAGTAGAGCTTTGTAAACTTACTTAACTCCATGAATTTAGTTTTTCAATATTTTAGCTATATTTCAACATAATTGGTTTCCTTTGTAATGCTATTTAGTTTAATTTATGCATCTAGACATATTATTCTGACATGAGATCCATAGGCTGAATTGGATGGCCAAAGGAGACCATGATGCACAAAAAGATGTGTGATGTTTAAAAAGTTCAAGAGACATAGTTTATGGGCAATTAAGTCATTTTATTAATAAAAAGGTCAGTGACACTCTCGAATGCCAAAGACCAATCATGGTGGCAGGCTAGCAGTTTGTGTGCCTTTGGGTGTTCCTGAGAATGAATATTAAGATGAGATGAGGGCTCATTCTAATGAGGGTGTTGCGAGTACTAACTTGGATCACCCACATCTAGCTCAAAGAGACTTACCAATATACATATCAAAGAGGGAATCCACTTCTACTCCAGACCTATCTGACCAAACACAATGAACAGGAATCCACCCATTCACCTAGACTTAGAATCTTGTCTTTGATTAGATCTTAGCCTGGGTAAGTCTTTGCCCAAGATTGCTTACACTGGTTGATTTCTGAATGAGGAAGTGGAAAACCCTTTAGTCCTAATTAGATAATTAGTTATTAAATACAAGAGAGAAATAAGTATTTCTCTCCAGTGAGAACTCCCATTTTAAAGTATGTGAGACCATGATAGTGGTGAGTGAGGTATGTATATGTGTATTTTTTAAAAAACACTATACTCAACTTGTCATTTTCCTTATAAAATGTATCTTTCATCACAAAAGAATATCTTTTCCATTTAAGTTTTATTGATCGTTTTTGTTTGCTACACTGCAGTTATTTTCTCTTCTTCATTCATTCACTTCTCTTCTTCATTTACACCTTTCCAAGAAATGAAGAAAACTGATTAATTATTACTAACAAAAAAACCTTTATCTGACAGCACAGGTAGGAAGCTGTTCCTGAAGCCCCCCACCTCTGATTTCATTGTATCACCATCTGTTCTCTGGGACCAAGATGGGTCATTGTAATTAATTTCTGTTCATTTCCTTTTCTCTTTAAAGGAATAGGTGATCTATTTTTAAATGGGGAAGATCTTTCTTCTGTTGAAGATATTCGGAAATGGGCCATAGATGATGTGTATGACTTCATTACGGGGCTCCCAGGTTGTTCAGACTATGCTCAGGTGACTTATTTTCTTTATTAAAATAAACTTAAGCTGGGCATGGGGGTATAAGATTGTAATCGTTGCCACCAGGGAAGCCAAGGCTAGTGGATTGCTTGAGCTGAGGAGATCTGAGACCCAGCAGGGCTAAGTTGATCAGGCGTCTGCACTGAACCCAGGGCCAATATGGTGAGCTTCCTGGGAGTAAGAAGCCAGTGGACTAGCTAAGGAGAGGTTGCCCTGCTGATCAATAGTGGGATCAGCCAGTAGATGGCCACTGAACCTCCAACCTGGGTAAGATAAGGAGACCCAATCTCTAACCTATCAGTCATTCAATAGGTAAATAGATAAAATAAATTTAAATACTATCTAACAACAAAGGAACTTTGAAATATATTTCTGATGACTTGTTTTTTAAACCCAGGATATTAGAAAAAGAAAAAATATATCTTTTCAAAGACACTTTTAATTATAAAATGAAGGGGCTGCATTAAATGGTCTAGAAGACTCTTCCAGGTCTAAACCTATGATCCTATTACATGTAGACATTATAATTTACCATAAATTTGATTCCTCTAATTACCCAGGAGGTTGTGTAAAAGCTAAGGTCAGTAAGGTTATCACTTAAGGAATATGGTTCCCAGGTACCTGTCATTGATGTGTTTACTCTCTCACTAGCTGAAAGAATCTGGCTTTAAGCACAACCTAGTAATAGTTCAGTGACTTTGGACTGCTCAAATACTCAAATGGAATTGTGAAATAGCTCATTTAGTCTGAAAAAGAAAAGGAAGCCATAGCAACATGATGGATGAGAAAAACACCGGATTCAGAGTCAGAGACTTGGTTTGGAATCTTGTCTTTGCTGCATATAGACTAATTGAACAAGTCTCTTCTTCCTCTTCTTCAATGACATCTAAGATCCTTGCCAGCTTAAAATCCTACAAAATCTACATAAAAGCCAAAGACATTAATGTTTTAAAAATTGATGCCTTTTGTTTTTACATCTCATTCGTTTTCAAGTAAGCCTTCCCCTCCCATAACAGTATAACAAGGAATTTTTAAAAAATTCGGTAAAACCAACACGTTGAACATCTGCCAGCACACAACTTACCACACCCCCAAGTCTTCCACCTCTCCAGCGAAGGGAGGGAGGCGCATTTTCCCATTTTTTTCTCTTATAATGACACAGCTTTGAATGAATAAGTGGGTGAAAAAGCATTTATTAAATGCTTACTATATACCAAGAATTGGGGATACAGATAGAAAAGTAAACTTCCTATTTTATCTTATTGTTTCCCCCCCCCAATATTAAAGGTCACACTATTACAAAAAATTGAAGAGGACCAGATGAGGGGCCTTTACAGCTGTGCCTTTTCAGGAATTCTTAACCAAACAAGGGGTAGAGGTGATCACAAAACTTAAAACAGCTTGGTTTGATTATTTGAAATTAGAAATTTTTTATAGAACAAAATCAATGCGACCAGCATCGAAAGAGGTCATGGTGGGGGGGGGGGAGAAATCTTTGCACAAAATATCTTTAATAAGGGCCAGATATCCAATATAGCAAGAGAACTATAACTGATGTATAAAACCAAGAGCCATTCTTTAATGTACAAGTGGTCAAAAGATGCAGAGTTTTTAAAGAGCTGGAGATTTTGATCCAGAAGGTGTATGAACATTTGATTAAGAACATTTCAGTAAGGTATATACCCAGGAAATTTTATTATTTTTTTGAAAGCAAATACATGGGATAAATTATTCATAAAACACATTTTTATTCAGCAAACCAAAGAAAGTAAAATTTAACTAAACTTTTCAAAAATCAACAACTGAATTTTACTTATTTTTTTTAACTTAGCCTATGAAGGCTCACAGTGAGGAATTCTCTCTACTAATGCTCATAGTAGGAACTCAGTAAGTGTTCTTTTGGTGGATTGAATACAGATTGATACCTTCTCTGCAATTTAAAATCTTAGATAGTTGCCAGAGTTTTGAGAGGTTAAATGTCTTGCCTAGAGTCACACAACCAACACGTGTCAGAGATAGGACTGGAACCCGGGTCTTTCTGACTCCAGGGCCAGGTCTCTATCCATTTTGTAACATTGCCTTTCATAGTTAGAAAAAAATACAAACTTTTAAAATGAGATATAAAATGCTAAATTTTCTTGAGACATTAGGGTGTGCCTAAGGACACATAATTATGCAGAAGATAAATATGCCTCCCAAACTATAAGAATTGAAATGTTATCTTACATTCATTCATTTCTGTAGAAATGAGTAAGATCTCTTAATTTAAATAATAACAGTTGATACTTACAGAACTCTTTTCAAAATACAGCCATCTTTCTTTACAATCACTCTCTGAGGTAGCCAGGACTAATGTTATCTAGGTTATATAGTCAGGGATATGGTAATTTTGAGGTGACCTGGCCAAATTTTTTCATTTTAGAGATTATTGGATCTAGCTTAAAAGGGACCATCACATCCAATCCCCTTATTTTACAATTGAAGAAACTGAGGCAGAGAGAAATGAAATGACTTAATACAGGTAGTAAGTAGCTGAGCCAACATTCCAATGAAGGAACTCTGATTCCAAATCCAGCATTCATTCCACCTCACCACACGGCCAAAAGACCTAGTTCCACCACTGGAACTAATAATTTCATTTCACTCTGCCTCAGTTTCCTCAATTGTAAAATAAGGGGATTGGATGTGATGGACCCTTTTAGAGCTAGATCGAATAATCTCTAAAATGAAGAAGTTTGGCCAGATCATGTCTAACGCCCCTCCCAGCTCTAATTCTAGGATCTAATGTAGTGAGTCTTAACGCACACCGTGATGAGGTTCACGAAGCTCCTTTCTCAATGCTTTGATCACAGGATGATGCTAGCAGTTTACCTTTTCCCCCAGCACAGCAGGAAAGGGTGTCTTCTTTGATGTCTCTGAAGCATTCAGGCCCCAGCTGTCTGAACTGTTTGGAGGAAAGTAGGAGTGGCTGTGTCCACTTCAAAGAGAGATTAACTAGACTGCTAGGAAAATCACAGGAAGGCCACTTGGGTAACTTAAGTCAAGTCAACAAGCTTTTGTTGAGTACTTACCATGTGCCAGGCACTAGGCTAAACACTGAGGATACAAAGAAAGTAAAAGGCAGTCCCTTCCTGCAAGAAGCTGGACGTGTAATGGGACAGACAACATGCAAATAACTGGATGATGAAAGATGAAGCTAGCTAGCCAGAGTGGATGGAAGGCACTCTGAGAGGGAAAGGCAGTAGCAGGTGAGAGTAGGATGGACAAAAGGATGAAATCACCTGGGTAGCTTCTTCCTTTTCCAGCCGCCCTAGAAATGCCCACGTGCCCAATATGATGAACAGAAAATACTGAACAGCAGGAAGTGAGCCAGAAGCCATTCTTCCTTCTGTTCGTTTGGGCAAAATAGTATCTTTGTGGTTCTCAAAGATGAAATTACTATGGACAAACCAAAATGACATTAAATAACACAAGAGACTATTGGACAGAGTAACGTGCATTTCTTTTTTTTTTTTAAGATATTTAGAGACCACGCAATTGATGGTGAAACCTTGCCTTTGCTCACAGAGGAGCATCTTTTGGACACTATGGGCTTAAAACTTGGACCAGCCCTAAAAATTCGTTCTCAGGTATAGTCACTTAGTAACACAGAATGTGAAGATAAATGACCCTTTTCACTCTTAATGTTTTATGAATGTTATCTTCTTATCAAAAGTCTTAGAAATTCATCATTCAGCAAATATAATCTGTGTTTTTCCTCTAAAGACCTACTTTGGGGGTTCTGGTTTGTTTGTTTGTTTGTTTGTTTTGCTATTTGAGAATATAGCATTTCATGTTTTAATGTTAATCCTGCACAAGCTATCTAACATGTTCCATATTTGCTAGAGATCTGATAAAACTTCCAATTTATTACTGAATAGTTACTGGCATCGCAGTGTAATGTACAGACAGGTGGCATCAAAGCCAGGAGGACGTGGATTCAAGTCTCACATCTAACACGTATTGGTCCTAGGGCTGGACGAGCTGATTATCTCCTTGGTGCTTTAGACAACTGTTTAAGACAGAAAAAGGTATGACTGGCAACTGAGGGTTTGCTATGCCAGTGAAATCACAGGTTCAGTTCCTTATCCTCATCCCTACTAGGGGAGTATTACAGATCAAGTATTATACATAAAACATTATATTATATAAAGAAATATATATGTAATAACTATTTTATAATAATAGTGTAAGATGTCTAGGTTGCTTAGTGGATAGAGTGCTGGACATGACAGTCAGGGAAACTCAAGTTCAAATATAGCCTCAGATACTTACCAGCTGTGGGACACTGAGCAAGTCACTTAGCTTCTATATGTCTCAGTTTCCTCATCTGTAAAATGGGTATAATGATAGCACATACATCTCAGAGTAGTTGTGAACATCAATGATATAATATTTGTAAAATGCTCACAAACCTTAAAGAGTTATATCTGGCTTCATTAAGAAAGGCATCATTTCCAGGAATAATGAGGTATATACACTGCCAGGTCAGAACACATCTAGAATATGATGTTCAGTTCCTGGTGTCAGCTTAAAGGATGAGATTGATAAGTTGGAAAGTGTTCAGAAGAGGGTAACCAGATTGATAAAGGGCCTTGAGTTCATGTTATATGGAAACTGATTGGAAGAATGGGGATACTTAGCCTGGAAAAGAGAATGTTTGGTAAAGATATGACAGCTATGTTTAATTATCCGAGGGTTAGTATCTAAGTATCTAAACACTGAAATATCCTGTATTATAGCTAAGGGTCAGGTGTGAAAGACTAATCATGTGTTTTCTTGAGTAATAATGAAGTTTTCTGAGAGTAAATGAGCCATTAATTAATATAATGGATAGGAGAATGATAGCTAAGGTAATTTCATATGAGACAGTCTGAGTTTCTCCACAGGAAAGAGATTAAACTTGTTTTGCTTGGCCCCCAGAGATCAGGACTTCCACATGAGTGGAAGCTAGAAAGAGGCAAATTTATGCTTGATAAAAGGAAAGATGTCCTGACAGTTAGGAGTTCTTCCAAAATGGAATTGGCTGCCTCAAGAGGTATTAAGTAGGCTTCCCCCCATGTTGAGGCTTCAAGAAGAACTAGCTGAATCCTTGTCAGACATGTTGTAGGGGATTTCTTTTTTCAGATATAATTGTACCAGATGGCTACAGATCCCTTCTGACTCAGAAATTCCATGATTCTGTGATCTGCAAAGATGATACACAACTGGAGAAATTGAACCACATTCATTTTTTAAATATCCTCATTACAAATGGAAACAGAAGACTTAAAGAAGACATAGAACCATAAGTGGACCACTCACAGACTCTCCTCAGAAAGGCAAATAAAGGATTGAGCAGCGCTTATGAAAGTTCCTTTTATCACGAAACCAAAGGCAAAAAGAAACAATCATTTCTCGGATACTTGCTTACCTTGTTTTTCAGTGCTTGTTAATGATAAATACATGCATACAGACCACCATGATAATCACAGGTTCATAGCTTCAGATCTGGAAGGTATGTCAAAGACCACGGAAAAGAATGAAGTAGCAGAGATACTACAGACAACTTGACAGAATCCTGAGAGGTAAGTCAACATATGCCTTAATACTCAGCAGTTCCACTGTAGAAATGGGAATGTGAAAGATGATGAAAACAATCTTGGGAAATACAGTTGTAAGATTATTAAATTAAACAGGGCAAAGGTTGGTTGACTACACAGAAGCGTAATGTGTATATATCACAAATAATCTCTTTAAGAAGAGCATTGGAAGACATTCAACGTAGCTTAGCACCAAGCAAAAGCAGAAAAAACAAAATTATATATATATATATAGAGAGAGATGTTTTTAATGAACAGAAAATTATTGGCTACATTGCATTTTATTACCGACAGCAGTTATTTCAGAATCAGCTGTCTGTGCATGTCAAATTGAGCGGTGGTTGAAATCAATACTAAATTGAGGGGAAAAGACAAACACAGGAAAAAAACACAAGTTGCTGGTTATTGCAACTCCAACCCGATCTGTTCAAACCAGGTTTCGACTCTGGAAAATATCAAAGGAACACAAGTGAAGACATAATCTAGAAGATGCCTTCCATTTCTCAATCCTCTGAAATCTCTTAATGCTATAGACTAGCTAATCATATTTCTTAGAGAAATTTAATCAATGGACAAAAGTTACCATAGCAACAAAGCCAAAAGAGCCTAGAAATCTGAGCCAGTGAGTACTCGATCACATTGCCAAATAAAAGGACGCGGAAGCCAAGCGCAACAACAGTTTAGAGCACAAGCTCATCAGCAAGACATTACAGAGAAGGGGGATGGAATATTCCAGGCAATCTCGCCAGCAGGAGAACCTAAAAAAAAAAAATCGAAAGGAAAATGATCCTAAGATGAAAATTCGGCATGAGACTTAACTAAGCCAGATTCTCTCAAGAGCACATTTAGTGAAAAATCGAAGGACGACAAATAGATGTGAAGTTGAACATGTCGTCTAGCATTTCTATCATGCTTTAGTCTCATTGGTGATTATAATAAAATGACCGTATTTGGAATCTACCAGCTCAGTAACCAATGTGCTGTGCCCAGAAGTGATGATTATACTAAGAAGGTATAATCAGGAAGCACAGCTGGACCCAACCAAATGTGGACAACAGAAGAGAGCTACGTCAGAGGCAACACAATTTTAGAGTCACTCAGGAATTGACTTCTAATGATTTCCAAAAGGAGAAGATTACAAATAAGAGAAAAATATCACAACTTTCTAAGAGCATTTTCTATAGCAGATCAAATCTTTACAATCACATATCTGAGCAAAAGATGTAAAAAAATAGAAAATAGTCAAAGATAAAGACATGCTTCTGGGAGGTAGTGGAAATTTCACACATTTATATGTACTATATATTTATTACTGCACAGAAAATTATCGCTCCCATTACATTATATTGCCAACCTAACAGACATTTCAAAATCATCTGTCTGGGTGTCAAATGAAGCAATGGGGGTTTGCAAGTCAGAGGTGGATGGCCACTTTTCAGGTGTGTTCTATTCCTTTTCAAGTACTGGTTGAACTAGATGGTCTCTGAAGTTCTTCCAGTAGTGTGATTACATACACACAGGAAGGCACTATGCTTGTTGTCTATTGGTTTTTTAAAAAGCATTTGACTTAGAAGTAAATATAGCCTTCAGAGGTATATTCAAATAATGTGTTTCCTCTCTGCATTTAAAATCATATGGGAAGCACACAGTGCACTATCTGTGTATACATGAATTAGTCTAACCATTCTAGGAAATCATTTGGAATTATATCCCCAAAGGCATTGAAATGTGTGTACCTTTTGACCCAGCGATGCTATTGCTAGGCACAAATAAATCAAAGACAAGGAAAGGACTTTCTGTACAAAAATATTTATAGCAGCACTTTTTTTTTACAGCAAAGAATTGAAAACAAATTGGGTACCCAGAAATTGGGGAATGTCTGAACAATTATGGTATATGAATGTGATAAGATATTAGCACCATAAAAATGATAAAAATGGTTGATTCAGGGAAAATGGGAAAGAATTTTGTGAACTGATATAGAATGAAGAGGACAGAACCAGGAGAATAATTTATATAAAAACTACAATAAGGTGAAGGAAAATAATTTTAAAAGATTTAAGAACTCTGATCTAGGTAAGATCAATCATCAATCCTCAACACCAAAGCAACTAAATAATACAGTACCCGAATTGGAGCCAGGAGTTCTGTGTTCAAATCCTTCTTTAGACACTAACTAGCGGTGTGATCCTGGGCAAGTCACTTTGCCTCAGTTTCATTAGCTATCAAATGGGGTTGTTGTGAGGATCAAATAAAATAAATGTAAAGTGCTTTGCAAACCTTAAAAGGGCTATGTAGATGCTAACTTTGATGATGATGGTAATGATGATAATAACCATGATGATGGCGCTGATTCCAGAAGTCTGATGATGAAACACACTTCTTACTTCTTGAGAGAGAGAGAGAAGAGAGATGAACATGATTGACGCATGAATTTGTTTTGTTTGGGTATACTTATTTGTCACAAGGGAAGGCTTTTATTTTTGGCAGGGAAAGTTGTGGGGAGGAAGTAGGGAGGCTGGGAAAACAATGCCAGAAAGAAGAAAAGAACAGCAAAAAAAAAAATTGAGAAAATATACAGAAGAGGTCAGAAGGAAGTTCAGCAGATACAAATAAGCAGAGAAGTGTTGCTACTATTTATAATCTGTCCCTACCACTGCCTGTCCTCATTTAACAGACAAAAATAAATAAATAAAACCTTCATTATAACCATTCACAGTTCAGCAAATCAAATTCCGACATTGCCAAAAATATATGTCTCTGCATTTTATATTAATCAATGCTCTGGTGGGAGGTGAGTGGCATATTTCATCTTCAGTCCTATGAGCTTTGTTTGTCATTCCATTTATCTGAGTTCTCAAATCATTCAAAGTTGGTTTTTGTCTATAATGCTTTTTCATTTTATGAATTGTTCTCCTGGTTTTATTGATTTTTCTCTGCATCATTCAAAGAGGTCTTTCCAGTTCCCTCTAAAACTGTCCATTTAGTCATTTCTCATGGCACAATAA